GGGGGGGGGGCTAGGGGCGGGGATATGGATGTGTTTGTAACCACACAGTTCAGTGGTTTAAAATGAAAGCATCACAAACAGAGTACAATGCCACAGAAGTAGTTTGCTGCTATCTTCTGTAATTTAATGTTTGAAACAGACCAAATTAAAACAAGAACAAAAACCAAATGTGAATAATAATGAAAAAAGAACTGACCAAGTGGACAATTTCATTAAGATATGTTTGTTTGCCCAAGCAAACAGTGTTGCTTCGAGCTAAATCATTTTCACAAGTAAGGCATGTTCAATGTATGCAGAACCATAAAGAGGCAATGTTTTTCAAGAAGCAGCTTATTTCTATACAGAAATACATACAAAATGTCTTCGTACTTCCTTAGACACAGAAGTAGAATTGTGTGCAAATAATATCGGATGCACTCATAAAGATTCATTAAAATTGTACAGACTGTTAAGACACTTTTGAAAATGTGGCTCAGACAATTTACTTTGAAGGGCATGCCATTTAGGGGAAGCAGACACCCTTTTCTAGCTTTTCAAGTCAGCAAAAGAACTTCCTCATGTGAAGTCCAGCTTTGATTGTTAAATACAACAGATTACTTGTTCAAGAGTCTACTGCGAAGGGCTTTGCTCAGAACACTGCTCCCTGAAAACACTGAAGGCACATCCATAGGAGGATTTTTAACTTTTCATATTGCGTACCTATATAATATACTATATACTAAATATATTCACTATATATTTTTGTGATTTTAAAGCAGGAGACCTAGTGCCTCTACTTCTTATTGCATTTTTCAGTTTTGCATACTATGGCTTATATTTGGCTTCTTAAAGGTCAAATAACTACTGCAAAGATCTTATGAATTGCCTTTTATTGCTGCACATTTTGAAGTATGAGTTTCCCTAGCAAGTCTTTCCTTTATGAACTCCCTATGGCTGACAGGGACAGAACGTATCGCTGTGAGAACACAAGCCTGAAAAGGGAAACATCTTACAACAAAACATCACCGGTTAAAGTCACCCCAAGGAGCATATCATAAAGCTGATGGGGTAAAGACTGTTCCAAGTCCATCTGTCAAGAAAGAGCTGAAAGTTCAGAAATATGTTCTTACAGACCTTTAGAACAAACAGAGGAACAGCATTTGCATTAAAAGCACATTAAAACCATATAAAGTACTGTAAATAATATTCAAAAAAATCCAAGACACAGCAGTTACAGATTATCAAAGGGAGAGACAGTTGAAAAGCAAAGTATTTTTTCTTCTCTTGGCAATAGCAGCAATTTTGGCACAAAGGCAAATGCAGAATATAGAGAAAAACAGGCAGACAGGATACAGAGAG